TGAGGGCAAGGGCTTTGCATAGGATCTTGATGTACAGGTGAATTGTTGTGCTTGGTTTCACAGGCATATATATTATTAGCAGGATAATTTTGTTTTTGTAGTTTGGGCTGTGATCCAGTAGATGGTACTTAAGACTAATGGCTTATGGGTACACTAATACCCAACTATACCACTTTGTGTATTTCCTTCAGTTTGCAGACGTGCTTTGTGGTTGAGGGGAGCTACATTACTCCCTCACCAGGTCTGCTTATGGCCCATGGGGGTGCCCCCTTCAATCACTGGCACCATGTCCACATTTCTTTTGTTAGGTGCTCTGGGCCATGGGGCTCCCTTAGGGAAAGGCTGCAGCAGGGAGGTATGCCAGTCTTTCTGGAATGGTTCTTCAGAAGGAAGCTCACCCAACTTCCACCCTGGCCCAAGAACCAGTGTATCTCATCCATTGCAGTGCTTTTGAGATGGGGGCTCCTTCCCTGCTCAGGTGCAGGCTACAGAGCTTGGCTCATTCTCCCCAGATTTGTGGTGCATCCCTGGGGGCATCCCATGGCTCAGGGTTGGATTCTGGCTGTGCTGAGGGATCTGATGTGCTCTTGGGTTACCAGGAAAGCATTCATGTGGAACAATGCACTCAGGCTGAACTGCAGAGGCTGCACTATGCACTTGTTTCTGCAGAATAGTTAGGCATGGACCCTATGGGGTCCAGTGGGCAGGAGGGGCCAGTGGGCAGGAGGGCTTATGGAATAGATGTGCTGTAGTTCCTCAGGGAAACCAGTCCTGCTCTTTCATAGCTCGGAGGTCAGCTAAGACCAGTGCCTCCTGGAGGTGCATGGAGATCCCTGGGGCGTGGGCATCTATGGCTGCTCTCTGCTGGAGCTGCCCAGTGAACAAAAGCTCCCAGGCTCCATGCTGTCTGAAGGCTTGTCTCTGCCTGCTCCCTGGGAAGATCCTCTAGATAACTTATAAGTCCATGGGTGATGTGGGGTCCCCTGTAGCAAGGATCCCAGAGGTTCATGACAAGTGTGAGTCATCCTTCACTCACTTCTTTCCCAGGAACCATTCAGGATCAGGAGCTAGCCCTAGCATTCAGGTACCCTGCATGGGGTTCCCAGCTTCCTCCCTGTTCAGTCTCAGCTTCAGCATCACCTCCTCATTGAGTCTAGGCATTTTCTCTCTGAAGACGTTCCCGAATTATGGTGGTTTACTTGATAATTTGGTCTCTCTGAGTGGGAGCCTCCTGGCTGCATGTAATCAGCCATCTTGTTCCCCCTTCCCCATGTTCTGCGCTTCCAAAGATGTCTAAAATGATCAACATTATCCAATAAATTGACTGAGAAATCATGCAATATAAGTATTTTGTAAAAGTGGAGAAAAGTGCAGAATGTGTTATACGTTAATTTGAGTAATACAATAACATCAGATTCCATTTGTAGATAATTATTTTGGTAATATTTAATATGACCAAAGGTAAGAGAAATAGCAGCAATGATAATACTTTATTATTTCTTAGTACAATAATATTTTAGACTTGTGGTTTGTTCTCTCCTCTCTTTCTGTATATATATGGATATATAGATAGATACAGATATTTTATTTTGTGTTGCCAAAATAATCAGTCTGCTTAACTTATTTTTTCCCAATATTCTTACATTTCACCTAACAGACTTGCACTTCTTTAAATTTGCATTTCCTTCTTATTCTTTTTTAGTCTTTCCCCAATTTGCTCTTCTTCTATTTTTAACATATTTGATTTCTTTTTTTAAATTCTAGAAATTATTTTTTAAAAAATCTGGATACAAATCTCTTTGTCCTCTGCTATTTTCCACTATTCAGTCTGTAAGAACTACTCATTTCCACCATATTAGAGCTGAACTACTCCAATGTCCCTATTCTCAACCTGGTGTCTATAAGAACAATAGCAAATTCAAAACATCTTTCCAGAGCATACATCGGGACCAAGAATGTGCATCTTAAAATGTATAGTACAAAAAATTATGATATATAGATATGAATAGAGTGAGTATTGAAGGTGATCAGTGATCAGATTGTTTTTGTGTGTGTTATGTATGAGTGTGTGTGTGGGTACATGCATGTGCATGTGTGCCATTTTAATTTTAATTTAACAAGGAATCAATTAAAATTGGTGGGTGGAGGCTAGTTATTTATTCAAAGTGTATCAAGATAGAGACAAGTAAATATATATAGTGAAAGATAAAACATCTATCTATATAGATGTAGGAATGCAAAGAAACAGTATGAAAACACAAATGGCAAATCAACTTCCTTAACTTCCTTAATGTTTATAGCCTACATCATTCTGCTTGTACGTTTTAAATTTCATCATTGATTTAATGAAAGGCAAAGAAGAAACTACAAGGCAGGGTTAGAAAGCAGACCACACTGGGAATTCAGAAACTATGAACTGTGGACTATCTGAACCAAGTTAGGAGATTTGGTGGAAGATATTTTTATCTACAGGGGGATGATTAAAGACGCTTAACGAATCTGAAATATATGACCAAAGGCTCTTTGCCAGCTCTTTTCCAGCTTGTTCTAGACCAGACAAAGAACTTCATTTAAAGTACAGCATGAGAAATGATTCTGATGAAAGGATTTGTTAAATGCTATTACAGAAGTCAAGTACAAGGTCCTCAAAGTCATTAATCATAGAATTTAGATTTACTCATTCATGGTTGTGTCTGCTTAGTCCTCCTTGTAACTTAGGTTTATTCCATTTTAGTGATTGTATGGTTTGCTTTAGAAAAAATTGCCTTAATGATCCAACTGGACCAAAATAATATGATCATCTTTAAAAGTCATTAAAATGACTTTCTAAATCTAAAAGTGAGTGAATCAGTGATCATAAGGACATTCAAATATGGCATCTCAGGCCTCATCAAATCCATTGATATGATATTTTTCTCTAAAACGGTAATATTTAGGCCAAAATGGTTCAAGCTATTTTGATCATTTATTTTTTTATCTGCTCTGGGACCCTGGGCCCAATGTCTTACTGAGTAAACATCAATTGCTAGTAATTATACTAAATTAAGTACACAATATTGGAAATCAGAAAACAACCTGATCCTTGAGCCAATCTTCAATACACTTACGGTGCTGAGTCTTACTTTCCTTAGCTGTAAAATAAGAGGATTGGACTAGATTCCTACAAGTGGTTCCTCCCATGTTAAATACTTTAATCCTAGGAATCTTCTGTATTTAAAAATCCAAAAGAGCTGTATTAAAGGATAGTGTGACAATGTGAATATGGACATTGTAGAGAGTTTTAGACAAGTCTTAAATGTTTACAATATAGTCATCCTGATACATAAAAGTTTGTCTCCCAGAAGATATTTCTAAATCATTATTTGGCCTGCCTTGGCTCTGGGATAGACCAAACAAGCATCATGCATGAATTGTGCATGCGTGTAAAGCACACAGAAACATGTTATTAGAAAGTAGTCTTTAACCTAAATAGAAAATCAGTAAAGTGGCATTTTAAATTATCTTATAGCCTGATGAAAATTCAATTAGAACATGACACAGAAACATTTAGGAAATGAAGAAGTTTTCTAAGTGCCTTAAAAAAGGAAAGTGAGATTGACTCTTCCTATGTTCAAGAAGTATTTGAGAGAGTTATGCGAATTGGAAGAGCCTCAGATGTGAATTAGCTATTGATATACTAGAGTGTTTGTCTTTGAGATGTTTTTCCCCAGTAATAGTACCTAGATCGCTTAAAGAAATTACCAACACACTTAAAATCTTACAAATTCACTAGATGAGTAGAATAGAATGAAAGACCAATGAATCATGCTTTGAATGAATTTATTTCAACTTTGTCATCATTTTCTACTTCACACTTCTTTTTGCCACATATATTTTATAGCAAAAACACACAATTTTTCCATGTGGTTGAGAATTTGAGTTATAGCCACAATATTATTGTTGAAGTATGTTTAGTTTCAAAGTGTTTCCAATAAAATGACTCTGGTAGTATGTTACAATATTGTGAAAGAAGAAGAATAATGATCATTAAAAACAGAGTAATGAACAAAACCAGAAGCCACAAAGAAGTCTTTTCAAGAGAGCATTTCCAACATTGTATTTAAGGATGAATATATTCTTATATTTCCTTATATGGAGAATAATGTATATGACATTCTGGAAGAAGAATAAAATAACTAAAGAAAGAGAGAGAGAGAGAACAAACCAAACACAGAATGTAATTATTTTTGTTACTGTTCAAATTATTATGATGGGAGTTTCACAATAATATTTAACAAGCACAAGCTTCAGACTTCATCACATCTGGGTTCAAAACCTGAGCCCTAGGAGCTTGGTCAAAAGCCTCAATCTCTGTGAGTCTGTTTGCTCATCTATAATATGTGGATGGCAGTTCTGAATTTGCATTACAATTAAGTGAACTCACAAAACCAAATCAGTTCCTCTTAAGTGAGAAAAAGTGGCAAACTTTGTTGTTACTATTTTAATATTTATTATGAATATTTTTACTTGTTACCTTTTTCAATATCTATAATTAGAAAATAAAAATATTTCCATTTCAAAGCATTCAATAATAGCTCTGTGAGCTTATAAAATGCTTCCTTGAGATTCTTTCGGTTTGGTAAACATTTGTTTTTAACCTTCATTGAGATTGCTCTGGTTTTCAATATGATAAAGTGTAGGTCTCTATTTTAAACATCTTTTCTGAGAAGATATGTAGCTATGTGATTTGCAAAATGCACAGCTTGTAGGTCTTGTAACTTTAAAACATTTCCCTTCTCTTTGCCTGCAGCCCTTCAAGTCTCTGTTTCTTGGTCACCAGTTGAGTACAAACTCTCTCATTTTAAAATGTTATCTATGTAAATTCGTCTGCCACAGCTGGACAAGATGCATTCAAGAGTTTTTCTGTTTCCTGTGTGGTGAAGCAGCTTTCCCCTAACGACTATTTCCCATCAGTACCACAAAGACCTACCTTCTTAACCACTGTTTCAACGGTTTCTTACCACTTCCACCTTTCTATAGAACGTTTCATTTGGAAGGAGAGTCACAAATACTTGTTCACTGGGCTGTTCAGACTGATAACATCTCTTGGGACTTGAACATTGATGCACAATTCTCATCTGGAAAAAAAATTCAACTGTCAAACATTGGCAAATAATACCAGAAATGAAAACAAACTCTTTTCTGTCTCAGTGTCACCATAAAATAATTTGCTTTGCTCTCTTAGAAAATAAAATTCTTTACCTTTTTTCTAAAAATCAAAGTAAAGACATTTTCTTATTTATCTCTTTTGCTTACTTACAAAAATTTTTAATATATTTGGATTCTAGGCATGTATTTTACTGATAAATTCATTACATTTTTAGTAAAACTTTAGACCTAAGAATAGAAAATCAAATGAGATTGACAAACATGGTAACATAGGCTTATTTTTTTAATAAGGAATGAGAGAATTCTAGTACTTTATTCTAATAAAATAATGTCAAGACTTTTCTTTACATGTTCAAGATTTTTCATCTAAAAAAAGACCCATGTTAATTATTAACTGCAGAAACAAATTACAAGTGTTATGTTTACCTTTCTTATACAGAAATAATAATATAGTCTTCAAAAATCACAATTATTTTACCTGCTCATTTGTAAAATACTAAATGCATTTGAATTATTTTTCATAAATTAAGGAATTATAAAAGTTTAACTGTCATTTGTACATTATATCTTGATCTTTTCATTCATTTTTATTTTCTGGATTTATGGTCTTTATTCTTATGGTTTTCATTCTATTGTATGTTTCCAAGATATTTTCAAATAGAGTTTTAACTGAGTGATGCTAGATTAGAACATTTTCTAGTTCAAAATATTTGATGATTCAAAATTATGTTATGGCTTAATATTACCCCTACCCTCAATAAGCACACACTGATAAGCAACGACGTGTGTGGAATAAAAATGACAAGAAAGTGTGGCTGTGCCATAGCAAAAGGCAGAACTGAGAGCTAATGTTTATTACTTCTCTAAGCACCAGAAAGTGTGTACTAAAGAATACTAGGTTTTTAGACTATGATAGGTGTTCCACATACAACTACAGACATGCCAATATCTACTGGAGTAAGTTGGATAATTTCTTGCTGAAATAAAGTTAAGTTGGTATCTTTACACAGGTCTTCTCATAGACTTTGATGTGTTAACACTCTGAATGTCCCAGAGGAGGATATAGTGCAGATCTCTTGAAGCACCTCCTAAAACTATGAAACACCCCTCGGCCCTATTAGTATGTAAAACAAATATTGGCAAATTATTGATAAAGAATCTGCTTATGCTGTTTTTCTGTACATTTAAGTAACCACAAATTGTGTTTTTTCTTTCACAATATATCACTTCCTTTCCATTCTCAGTGTCCCCACCCTAGTTTGGGCTTTTACCTCTCTCTGCCCACCTCTAGTTTCTCTTCTTGTTCCATCCTATGAATTTCATCATATTAATCTTCTTAATGCAGCTCTAACAAGATCACAAATTTCTTTGAATATTTGCCACAGCTTCCTTTATGAAGAGTAAAAATCCTTAAAAATGTAATCTGATATGCAGGGGTATCTATAATGCAATCCCAACCAACTTTCTAACATTTTTTTTCAAATGACAGTGTTTCTTGGCCCACTTGTTTGATGAATTGACCTGGTCACCAGTCATGTCAGAAATTTCTTTTCTCTGATCTTTTGATCACATTAGTCCTTTGTCTGGAATATGCTCAACCAGCTTGTTCCTATTGAGATCCAGTGTAGTCCATTCCTTGGTTCAAATTGAAATGAAATTTCCAGCATGGAACTCTCAGATCCTTCCAACAGGACACAGCCTTCCCCTCATCTGAAACTTCATAAAAGTTTGTTAGAAAATTTTTGAGGTATATATCACATCTGTGTATAGTTGCCTCAGTTGCCTGTCTAAAGTGTAAAATGGTTTGAGATAGGAGATAGAACATCGGGGAGAGATTTCTGCTAGGAAGTCCATAGCTTTAGGCAGTGGTCAGTTTATATAAGAAGTGGGTGCAGGGGCAATCATCTGATGAGTTTATTATTCTGATAAAGCAAACGCTAAAACATTTCAGAATCACTTCTTTAAGAGAACAGCTATAAGACACTCATATTATCTTTAGCAAAACAGCTATTATTTTATATACTTTATTGAATATACCAAATTTAGAGTGTGTTTTTCAAATATTTTATATAACTTCATATTTGCTTTTATTCTTTGAACAGAAGATAGAAAAAAAATTCCTAGTCCAAAAGAATACATCTTCTTTGCTGCTTTTACTAGTGCTATTGCAGTCCTTCAAGACCCTAAACCATGCTAGCCCCAGATAGGTATGTTAACCTTAAAGACAGCTTCTAGGAAATGCTTGAGTGCATCACATCTAAAAATCTCTATTTATGAACATTAGACAATATTGTGATTTTAAAATTTCCCTAAGACAAAAATAAACTAAAATATTTTAAGTAGAAAATAAATAAATACATATAAACAATTTTACATTAAAGCAATTAAGATAGTTTCTCCCTAAGACAGCAGTAATTTCAGGGCAACTATGGAGCCCTATCAGGACTGAAAGACCATCTTACATCTAGGATAATCTGGTCATTAGAGTTGTGGAGGGGAGCTCACAGACACGAATCAATATTTCTAATATGTAATACCTTATGCTGTAGACCAAATCTTTACAACAATTCTGTTCTCTTCCAAAGAGCAGTTGGGACACAGATCCTGAGTTATACTTGAGGAACCTTCAGCAAGAGCATTACGATAGATTCCCAACAGCTAGAATCCTTTCTTGGAATTCATAATGAAAAGAAAAGACCTGCTTTTAAACCTTTCTCTCAGCTTTTACCTTAGGTTCACAATAGACATGATTTTAATGGAACTAATGTGTCCATATCCAAGGTTCTTCTCCCATCCTTAATTCAAAGCAATTTTGATAAAAGTAAAGGTGAGTTAGCTATATGGATTTGAGCTCATATAAGTGAATGCTGACTTCAGAGCTACAATTTACATGTAGTAAGGCTTTATTACTTCTGGTCTATCTACTGTCATGTAACTGACAGGTGGTAGGTTAATGTATGTAGAACACACACGTGTGTATTTGATATACTTCCTGCTAATGCTCATGCAGATTATTTAGACATCTGGAATCAATTTAACAATTGTGTGAACTTTACGTAAATAGCCATTATCCGACTTAATGATTTTAGTGGCTGCAGTTGCCGGGGTTGTCAGTGGTCCTGGCATAGGAAATTTGAATTGAAGAAGATTACTTCCCTTTGGGCTCTTTCACTAGAAGAGCAGTTTGAATCAAAGAGAAAAATACCTGCTCAAACTCATTATCAAAACTGGATAATGGTAAATGGCAGCCTGTGGGAAATCTAAAGACAATTTAATTTATTTCTCTAATGAAGGGACCAGCATTATTATTTAAAATTAGTCCCTTATCTTACTTATACCTATTCTCTAGGCAAATATTTTAGAATGGATTGTAATTCATTTCTTTTTAAATTTATACTATTTGTCACTCACTATTGCTGCCCTGAGTGACTTGTACAATATAAATGATTTGGAGGTAAAACCAAGGAATGATATGGTTTAGGCAGGCTTCTAATTTGATAAAAATAATCCTTTGATGTCTAAAATTATTTTTATACTATGCTGACCAAATAGACTGTGGGAAAATATTGCCTCTTTGTTTATTTATCCCTAATCAATTATAGAAAGTTATCAAACAGGCTTGACTATTTCATTTTTGGACAATTTAATGTCACTTAATCTCTATGTTTTTTAAAGATAGCCAAGAAGAAAAAGAACAGTGCTAAAAATAAGTGAGTTAAAATTCAGATGGAATTTTGATTTTAAATAATGAATAAACATTAATTTTAAAATTTAGAAAGTCCAAATAATTTAGGGGGAAGATAACATTGAGTCTCAATAAATGATATTTTAGTCAGCCAGCAAGAGCAACTATAAATGTAGAAATTGTAAATATCATTAGACTTCTGCAAGGATAATCATTAAGCAGAAATCTACCGATTACTAAACAATGTATTCCACTTGGGTCCTATAAAAATTTATCCAAATTGTGGATTTTTAAAAAAATTTCAGATCCAGTTATACTACCCTATTATATAACAACAAATTTCTTGCTTAAAGATAAAGGTAACACCAAGAAAAGACCTCTGACTTTACAAATTATTTAAATATTATTATTTAATGACCTTCTTTTTTCATGCAAAATTATTTTCTTAATTATATCTTTAGATAACATTCTCCCAGAATGAACTCCTAGTATTGTTTATGCCATCTTTCAAAATAGAAATCCAAATTATAGCCTTCTTTTGCTATTTCTCAAATACAGCTATCAGCTTTCAAACAAATTGTTGCCCAGGATTCTCAGTCTACCAAACTGTGAGATAAATGGGGCTGGGAGTGGTGGATCACAGTTGTAATTCAGGTAGTTTGGGAGGCAGAGGTGGGAGGTTCACTTGAGCCCAAAGTTCGAGAGCAGCCTGGGCAACATAGTCAGATTTCTGTCTCTACAAAAAACTTAAAAAATTAATTGCATATGGTGGTGTGCACCTGTAGTCTGAGCTACTAAAAAGGCTGAAGCAGAATGATTGCTTCAGTCCAGTTCAAGAAGGCAGTGAGCTGTGATCACACCGCTATACTCCAGCCTGGACAACAGAGTGAGATCCCATCTCTATTTTAGAGAGAGAGAGAGAGAGAGAGAGAGAGAGAGAAAGAGAATTTTATGCATATATAAACTATTGAAACCTAGTGGAGAAAAGGAATAAGCAAGGAATACATCTTTTTTTAAGTCCTTAGTAGTCTCTCACTAAACGTGTTAGTTCATAGTTTGGAACCGCCTTTGGTGCAAATCATCCCTTTAATTTTAGATTCCAGTCTTCAGTATTTTCTTAAAGCATATGCCACAACATACTACCAAAATTAGAATGCAGAACAACAGTTAAGAACAAATAAATTTCAATTTAAAATAGTGTAAAAAAATATATTATCCTAGGTCTTATTTTAATTCTAATTTATTTGATGTAGCTATTGTATTAGATGAAATGGACTAAAAGAA